GATGCGCGCACACACCACACACACCGCACTGCGCGCCGGCACCACACAACCACACCGCGCGCTCGCGCCCCGCGCGCACACACACCACACACCCGCGCCGCGCGCACACACACCCACACAACACCGCGCGCGCACACAACACACACGCGCGCGCGCACACACACACACCGCGCGGCGCGCACACCCACACACAAACACCGCGCACAACACACACCGCGCACACACACACACACACCGCGCACACACACACAACACAACCGCCACACACACACACCGGCACACACCACACACCGCGCACAACACACACACACGCGCACACACACACACACCGCGCACACAAACACAACACACACACACAACACACCGCGCGCGCGCACACACACACACAACCGCCGCGCCGCGCCACACACACACACGCGCGCGCGCGCACCACACGCAAAAGACTTAAAATCAAACTTGGCATAGCAAAGGAGTAATTTGTTGAACTTAAGAATAAAAATAATTGAAATTAATAATTTTCTCCTAGAATAAGTCATTGAATTGTGAATATAATAAATGGGATATGAAAACAGATGAGACACCCATGATCACAAGTTTCAGAATAAATTTTTAATGAAAATGCATTTATTAACAGCAACAAGTTAATTCTAATCTTATCAATTTCCTGCTCCCAATTTTAAGAAATAACAAAATTAAATTGGGTCCAAGGAAAATTACTAACCTTTCTTTGGGGAGTCTTCTGAAGAGGTGCACTTTGAAGAGCAGATTTCATGTTACTTGATTCTTGAGAAAGTTTCTTGTATTCAGAATTTGGCACATATACATAAAACAACTGAACACCAACTGGTAAATGAAATGGAGTCACAACAGATTCAGCAGTGGTCTGTAAACATAAAAGACAATTAGTTAGCACTCTCCACAAGAAAACTGTTTTGTATCTGCATTGTTGTACATTATCTGTATCCCCTACATAAGCACATAATGGAGCAATGAGAATTTATCTTCCTGAACATCAACTAACAAAAAGAACGGTCAGAAATTGGAAATTCAACAAGTCCAACAAATGAATCAATTGACATAAAACTGGATCTGAATGAACTGAAAAAATGAATCTGAACTGGATTCTTCTGATGAGGCATTGATTTTATTTTCGGACTGTTGTCTAGTTTGTGCAATGACAATTATACTGAGGAGAATAATAATAATGCGAATGGTTCAATTGGTGGGTCTTTTCAAATTCACGACTTTTCATTTCCTTTAGAATGCTGGGCAATTGATAAAAAATCTGAATAACAGTGTTTGAGAAAATGAGTAAAATAAAATATCCTGTTAATGAAGACTTAACTGAATTAGGCTCTTTTCCATCATTTTATTACCACAGTATATTTTAAAAAATAAAGGCAGAAATAAGTAGATATGCAAATGGAACTATATTTGAACTTCAACTAAAGATAATTCTGGTGCACCAGTGTTGTTGACACATGAAGTTCAATGCATCTTCCTTCATATTTTGTAACATTTTTACTTTCCACAAAAATATAAAATGGGTTTCTTTGAATTCCATTCCCACTATCATTTTATAATCAAATGAATATAAAAAATACAGACTTAAACACAAAAGATAATACTACAAGATTTTATCAATTTCCAACTGATGTGTGCAATAGATTTTGTTTTACGTTTTGAATAACAGCTATATGACCCAAGACACGGGAGTTAACCCCATGGCGTATCCCTTAGGATCGAAAGTGTTAACAAATTATTAAAAAAAGATAAAAGGTTAAGAAATGTTAAATGTGAAACAGAAAGATTTTGAAACAAAAGCCTTGATTGATAAAAATAAGATCCTGAACATGAAAGTGGTTCCTATTTCCACTTCAAAAAATCACAGGCACCACCAACTTATTCGAAATTCGTATGGGGCAGAGGGGAAGGGAGGTAGGACTGTAATGATGTAAGAGGGGCAGGGAGGTAGGACTGTAATAATCATTTTAGTATAAAGAAGATTTTACCTTAACAATGAAAATTAATTACTTTATATTTCTCAAATTAGTTCAAATTATAGGCTGCTTAAGAAAATTGCTAATAGTGATTGGAAACCACAGAATTCCTCCTCTAAAGAAAGTTCATAGATTAAGTGAAGTCTATCCAACTTCTTTGGAAAGGATTGATAAGAAAGTTGCAAGGTTGACATCCTCTGCAATCATTTACAAAGACAGGGAGTTAAAAAACATATTGTTTGACAACCAAACATTATTTTTCTTGTCTACATTCAACTCTGGTTATAGTAACTTAACCTGTTCCGCTTACAGTACAAATAAACATAAGAAGATTCAGTTATAGTGAACCTGAACCTTGCTTATTGTGAACCTTGGTTTTAGTAAATACCGTGATCTGAAAATTAATTCACTCCTGGAAAAGAATATATAGCCTCAGTGCCACAAATTCCAACACTGGGCAGCAGCAAAAAAAATCGTTGAAAGGTCAGAATTGAAGAAGTCTCCCGAGGGGAAGGTAGCAAACCTGGAGGGGGGGCCTTATTGATATTCTCATGCCACTCAGTTCCACTGTGGAAACAAAGAGTGGAGCCTGTGTGGGCTACAACTGGCAGCGGTGACATGCGATTGCTTGCTTTAGTTTCAAGCTTGATGTTATTTGATACCACGTGGGAGAAAATGCATGATGTTCTTGTTCCGTCCACGACACAA